ATAGTTACAAATGTTAAGGAATTTATTTAGTTTTATGAAAAAACATGGTCGCACCACATTACTTTTTATAAGGACGCGGCCATTTCATCTAGAAGAAAAAACACTTAAAATCACTTAAATATTATTTGTTATATGGATTTATGCGTGCTCAACATTCTGAATGTCATAAAAATGTTAATAGATATTCTTAATTTTTGCATTTTAAAAATGGCCTGTTGAAAATCAATAAACGTCATTGACCCATATATGCTAAGGTCCCGCTGCTGACACGACAGCAGTCATTTCGTGCGCATATGTGTAATTAAACCGAATGAAACCCATGATATCAAAATCTCACTCCAGCCAGGTACCCAAAGTTGGCAACCCTGTGTAAGTAACCTTATCAAAGGTTTCACTTTATGGAGACATTTATTACGTGGAAATGTGGCTTGTTGGAAACAAATGCTGTCTCATATCCTGCAATAAAGACACAGAATATATTTGAATCTAATCTACTTTCTGTGAATGAGAAGAACAAACATATTATTTGTTCTATCCGTGTAACAGAAAGTGTTCTGTCTGATGTTGAACATCTTAAAATGCAAAACTGAGCAAAAACTATAACTTCATAAAATACATTTTAATGATAAACTTTTATTTATTTATTTATTTTATTGTAGGTTTTGGATGCCTTAAGTTTTTAGGTTGTTTTAAGTGTTTTTTAAGTTTGGCCTTTGCAAACGGTTACTAGGCTCTATTAAGGTTGGATTTTGCAGACGATTACTACATTAAATAGGTGAAACCTAGCAGTTGCTATCTTCATTAACAGAAAGCAGTGGCAAGAAATAACTCATTTGTAACTCACTCAAGCGACATTTATATGGTTCATTCTGTATTCAAAAGTGTCCTTCCTTTTGAGCACGGACTCTGTGGTTTCCTGCTTCAATGCACCTCATGTGACCATGCTGGCTTTTACATCTTCAACAGTGCAAGTTATAAAAAACAGAGAATGATAAACCTGAAGCAATATAAACTGTAATGAACATGTACTTATTTATATACTTATTTAAACATTGAATGTCACATTACACATCACATGACATACCACAGGTCCTTTGCAGGTCTCATTCTCGTAAACATTTTTTTCCTGGCAGAAATGAACACACAGCATTCGCACTAATTAAGATGAAAAAAAGACAATTGACAATTGTATTGACAGTCCCCTCTGAGCCTCTATTATTATTTGCTTGATTTAAAAAAAATACAATGCAATGCAATCCCCTCACACAATTAACACAAAATGTCTTGAGTAGAATGCAGTTTTATATGTGACATTAAGTGCCATTGCCGTTCACTTTAAAATATCAACCAGAGCTGTTTGAACCCAGGGCCTTCATGAATACCCTCTGAGCATCCTCAGCGAGCATGTTGAGGCAATCCTTGAGAGATATGTAGGTGCAGGTAAAAGAGAAGGTCGCTGCTGCTGGTATTCCTATTAATGGAATAAATCTGGACAGTTCCTCTGCTGCCAGTGAAGCAACTTGAAACCCTGACAGTAAGCAGCAGTTTCATAATGAGCTCTTTGTTTATTACATCTACAGACAGGTTTGAGGTCGTCACTGCTCTGAGATCAGTCAAAGGCACACCTGATTTAAGAGCAAGATTTGCCATTGACTTGCTATCAAGATCAAAAGTATTTTTGTACTCATTGGTGGCTTCAACCAGAATGGCTATATCAGCAGCAACAGAGAGCCCAGGAAGCTGGTACAGCTGCTGTGAGTGCAGATAAAGAAGCAAGGAACACTATTTGTGCCCTGAGAGCTTCTTTCTTCTTGCGGATGATCTCCAAATCAGCATTGGGCATGGCTAACAGCAGAGTGTCTCTCTTGTGTGCAGGAAGCTCTCTCTCCAGGGTCTTCGTTAACAGGTGGAAGTCATACAGGTGGAGATCAAGGCTGGACACCAGGAAGACTTGTGGAGACTCAACCTTGTGTTTTAGAAGACTTGCGTCACACACACAGAACAGCAAAGTTAATTCAAGAGGATGAAATTGAAACCAAGTTAGAAACATTCCCAGCAACCATCAGCAGGACAGACAAGAAAATGGGTTATTTGTTTAAAATCTGAGAGGATGATCGGTCACATGAACAAACCATTAATGGCCAGTATTCAAACAACTCCTTTTATAAACTTTTATAAACCTTGTAAGCTCCTGTAAAGTAACATTTTTTTTGTTTTAAAATGAAACAGTGTCTACTTGTGACCCTTCTTACATTTTTTGAGCGAACAAAGTAGAACTTCTTCTTCATCTTCTGGATCTCCAGAGCAAGTTTCACATCATTTTCTCTGAAGCGATCAGCTGAGATGATGATGAAGACGAAGTCAAATCTTTCAAAGCCAACATGCTCCAGGTACTCGGCAGCTGGAAAATTGATGGTGCCAATACCAGGAAGATCCCACAGTGTAACATTGGGAAAGTTTGGATGGGGGTATGGTTTGACCTCTGTGGTGGTTTCTACACAACCAGTAGGGGCTGCTGCATCACTCTTATCCTTCTTGTGTAAGCCTCTAAAGGCGTTAACAAAGGTGGATTTACCAGAGCCAGACCTCTCCTGTGATGGCGATGTTTAGTGGAATGTTATCCTGCTCTTCCAAATAAGTCTTGATCTTTGCAGCTGCTGCGGGGACATTGGTTTGCACCAATTCTTTAAGGTGCTTAAGTTGTTCATTATCAAATGGATTATCCATAGCTCCTTGAAAACACAAAGAAAATGATTTCACTATTGATTTGGTGGATAGCAGCATTTACAAGCAGCACGTTTACTCTTATCCAACCCTAGATAAAATACAATAAATATCATAACATTGTAAATGTATTACCCAAAATTAGCAGAATGAATACGTCAGTTTTCCAAACATGTGTAGGTTACTCTGTAAACTTAAATACTGGGTCCCAATCCCTTCAATAGCCATTGTTAACTCTTTACAAAAGACTATTAAAATGCTACATGTCAGTGTCACACAATTCAAAGCAAGGACTAAGCAATGGAAAGTCACAAATATTGGCTGAACATTCAACAGGTGCAGCTTTAACAGTCATAAACAATACATTGGTATACACAATAACTAAATACATGTCTTACCGTATGATGCACTTGGAACAGTGCTTCTCTAAAAGAAAGTTGAACTTGTTTTTCTCCGCTATTACGGGTTCACCTTTTTAAAAGGTCAGCTTCTAGACACTGAATGAAGTGACCAATTAAATGTTTCCTTCAGTCAGCGACAGAGAATCTAAACCAATCAGTGTTGTTTCCTTGTCTGCGGTTTCAGTAAAGTCACCTGGTTTACAAGAAATGGGGGGAGGGTGTGTTTATTTTTCTTCTAGATAAGTGTATGACTGAACTCAGGGCCGTCCCTGGTCAACTTGGGACCAAGCGACATTGTGAGATGAGGGCCCCCCCCCCCACCGACAGGAGTGACCATTTTTTTTTTGGAAACAAGTACTTTGCAAATATAATTCCTGTTTATTACTATTATCAACAGTTACTTTTGTATACAGTGAGGTAAATGGTAAATGTGCATGTATGTCGTTCAGTATGCATTTACAGGTGAATACGTCTGCATTTCCTGGATGCAAAGTCATCGACAAGGTCATCGTATGACAGCTGCTGTGCCAACTGTGCGTTGATGCTTATGAGAGCCAGGCCACTTAAGCGTTCTTGTGCCATTGACGACCGGAGGTACGTCTTCATAAGCTTCAGTTTGGAAAAGCTTCTCTCAGCAGACTCAACTGTAACAGGAAAAGTTACTGCAATGCGGAGGGCAATCCAGAGATTTGGGTACAGTTCCTGTAACTCACTTTTGTGGAGAAATGACAACATCTCCAGAGCAGTTTTTTGTAGTGGCATCTTTGGGAGGTTGATGATCTCCTGGACCAATGCAGACAAGAAATCCATCATTCAAGCAGACTTAAGATATGTTTTGATCTTAATAGTGCACTACAGAATGAATATAGTGAAAATACTAGCCTCAAAAAGATTCAAATATAATTAATGCAAATAAACTACTTCTACTAATAATAATAATCACAATCATAATCAATTCAATAATATAAATACTATATTATTTTATTATAATATAGTTGTAATAGTCAAGACAAAACATGCTTATTACATGCTCAAAAACTGATATTTCTTAAATCTGTATTCAAATGTAGTTCCCTCTGTCAGCAATGTATCAACAACTACACACACATTTTTGCGGGGTGCACGGAGAACTGCACACAAGCCGAGCTCATAAGCCGAGGTCCCCTGCGCGAGGCCCCCTGTGCAATGTGAGGCCCCATGCAGCCTGCACGATCGGCCTGTAGGGAGGGGCGGCCCTGACTGCACTGCATCACAACACTCTGCAGGGAAGCTGTAGCAGTGAACAAAATGTAAGGCTTTAATACTGGTGACAGGCGGTGTGCAGCTTTTTATCATTGAAATGTGAACACAATGGAGGTGAAAGATGTAACGTTTTCTCAAGTGGCGAAGTTAAAAAGCTGTAGTGGTGGAGTGGAGAGTTTCACAATTTGTACGGCAGTAATAACAAAAATTGGAGATGGGTGTGTACATTCATAAACCATACGAGTCATTTTGAGGAACATGTTATACTTTTATTTGCAATAATAATGAAATGGTATTGTATGATTTCCTTGTCCGAGATGTGTTTCTAATATTTAGCTGATGCTCAGTCATATACGTGCATAAAACACTTATAACACAATCCAATTTTCTTCTGAATCAAACGTCAGGCTCTAAAGTTGAATCAACAGCTATTTGATGCAGGATGCTTGTATTAGATTAAGAGCAACTGATAAGTAGTCCTCTGAGGGTAAATATAGATCGTGCATGACAGGCTCAATATTTCAGAGTCAGTTCATGCAAAGCCTCAACTTCTGCTTTCAGTGATACTTCAAGTCTCTATTAATTCAGTGATGTGAGAAGTTCGGTAGTTTGGAAACATACAATTCAAATGAATGTCATTAATGTACATGTTTTAATGACAGTACACTTATCCAGCTGGCAGGCAATCTTTGAAAAATAATCTGGCGAATATGTTCTCATATTTTTGTTTGTTTCTTTAAATCAGAAAAGTCAGAAGATAGTGAAACATTTTGGTCCGTGTTCACCAAAGATACACAGTGAATTAGTTGGAAGCTTTTGTTAACTCAACTCAAACTAGGAACCTTTTTGTATTAGATTTGGTTAGCTGGGGGTATGGTCACCTCTCAAATCTCATACTTCACTTTAAACTCGCCCTTAGTCATTAAATCTGACTCGGAGTCGGGACACATCTGGGAGATCATCAGACTTGTTCTGCGTCTTCTTTGAGCCACTATGCAAGTCCTCTCTCTCTTCATCATCATCACTGTCTGAGTCATCCAAGACCTTCTTCGCTCGTACTCGTACTTTCTTTTTCTGTTCAACAACTTCTTCATCTTTCTCTTCTCCTTTCTCTTCTCATCTTTCTCTTCTCCTTTTACTTCTCCTTGTCCTTCTTCTTCTTCATCATTATTGTCCCCTTCTGAGTTAATTCTGCACAGTGAGAGAACAAAATAAGTTAGATTTAGTGGCATCTGCGACTTTAAGTCTTACATGAGCAATGGCAAAATGATTGAGTGTTAAGGGCATTAAATGGAGAAGTAAAGACTGGAGCTAAAATGTTGTCATTAGTTGTTAAGACTAGGTTGCAATACATCCTTTTGTCCACAAGATGGCAGACTTGCAGTAGAGTTCACTGCATGTGCTTGACGGATATACTGTACATATTAACAATGTTAAGTAACTTAATAACATACATACGATGTAGTCCTCCTTGCAGATAAAGAACCACATCTCATGCACACTGTGTGACGACACATGCTATGAATGGCTCATTAAGGAGCAACTACTGGCAATTTGGGAAGGAAACACATTGGCTCTGAAGTAATAGATTATCCCAATCTCAAGCAGCAAAGTTGATAATTTACTTAAGATCAGAACAGAGAATGTAATTATCTATTTTACCCATGAATCTGCACACAGACAACATATACACACAAAAAAAATATATGATGCACTCACGGAATAACAATTTTCTCTTTCTTCCCACACTTGCAGCAGATGTCTAGCTCCAGAGAACAGGGCTTACAGAGGATGTGGTATGCATCCTTCACTGTCCTCTGAGCACACTTGATACTGAAACAAGAACAATATACAAGCAGAAAGGTGATTCATTTTAGAATTGTAACCAAGCACAAATACCAAAATGCTTAACTAGACATATAAATAGGTAACACACATCTTGTTATAAAAAAGTGTAATACAATTGTTAATTGTACATTAACACGGAAAATCATCGCCGCTGTAAACTGTCTCAGACTACTGGTTTACACGAATAACTGCAGTGAATATACAAAGAATAGCACTGAAAATATTCAAAAAATGTGACAATTTGGGTACTTTGTGATGGATGCACATAATCTAGAGTTACCCATTCATTTCCTATGGCGGTCATTTCAGACAGGGAACACCATAGGTGTAACAAAGTTGACTAAACCACTCAAAATTCAATGTAAGTGATGATCAACCATGTTGTCGGTTTAAATGCCTACTGGGGAGGATATCATAAGGCAACACAATATTCATTGTTGATGAAAGAAGTACAGATGTCAGATTTGACCCAAAAACAGGAGGGTTCAAAATAAATTGAATAGAAATAGGCATAGACAGTAAATATATACAAACTTGTATCAGCAGTAAATCAAAGTGTACCTTAAGCTTACTTACCATTTTTTGGGTTGTGTCAGTGACTTGTACTTGTTGTACCTTACTCTCCACTCCAGAACACCCTTACAGTGTTTACAGAGCCCATCGTGGATCTTGGAGTTTGCTTTCTGTAATTCACAAAAGCAGAGTGATGGTGACAGGTTTTAAATTCCAGTGGACCTCAACACTGGTGCCAGGAAAAACAACTGCATTTACAGTAATAAACTGAAGAGAGAGAAGTAAATACATGTACTGTACAGGCTGCAACAATATAATTCATCATTGTTGGTTAAGATTGTTTGAAATAGAAATAAAAAAAACATTATGTGTCTAATATCCTGTCTTTAACTTGTGTAACTAACATTTCATGGTACAGAGGCTCATAATGATAACTACTAGTAAATCTAGAATACAGAGACTTGTAATACCTACAATCATGAAAGACAAAGTGTACGATACATTTCCAAGTTTTTATTTAAGAAAGAGGTTTTTTTTAAATCACAGAAGTAATTCTACAGTGTTTTGCATTAAACAGTCGTATACAAAAAAGTAAATGTTTATGTATTGAAAGGATACCAGGGCATGTTTTAATGTGCTTTCAAGCTATTCAAGATTTGTCACTACATATGCATTAATATCAGTTAAACACAACCTACAACGAGACCATTGGATGGAATGATCAACTACAAAACTTATATTTTATTGTTCAGCTAGGATACAAGATTATTATTTGCTTGATTTTTAAAAAATACAATGCATTGCAATCCCCTCACACAATTATTACAAAATGTCTTGAGTAGAATGCAGTTTTATATGTGACATTAAGTGCCATTGGCGTTCACTTTAAAATATCACACAGAGCTGTTTGAACCCAGAGCCTTTATGAATACCCTCTGAGCATCCTCAGCGAGCATGTTGAGGAAATCCTCGAGAGCTTTGTAGGTGCACGTAAAAGATAAGGTCATTGCTACTGGTATTCCTATTAATGGAATAAATCTGGACACTTCCTCTGCTGCCATTGAAGCAACTTGAAACCCTGACACTACCAGCAGTTTCATAATGAGCTCTTTGTTTATTACATCTACAGACAGTTTTGAGGTCGTCACTGCTCTGAGATCAGTCAAAGGCACACCTGATTTAAGAGCAAGATTTGCCATTGACTTGCTATCAAGACCAAAAGTATGTTTGTACTTATTGGTGGCTTTAACCAGAATGGCTACATCAACAGCAACATAGAGCCCAGGAGCTGATACAGCTGCTGTGAGTGCAGATAAAGAAGCAAGGTACTTTATTTGTGCCCTGAGAGCTTCTTTCTTCTTGCAGATGATCTCAAAAATGAGAGAGCAGAGCATCTCTCTTGTGTGCAGGAAGCTCTCTCTCCAGGGTCTTTGTTAACAGGTGGAAGTCATACAGGTGGAGATGAAAGCTGGACACCAGGAAGACTTGTGGAGACTCAATCTTGAGTTTTAGAAGACCTGTGTCACACACACAGAACAGCAAAGTTAATTCAAGATGATGAAATTGAAACCAAGTTAGAAAATTCCCAGCAACCATCAGCAGGACAGACAAAAAAATGGGTTATTTGTTTAAATACTGAGAGGATGATCTGTCACATGAACAAACCATTAATGCAGTATTCAAACAACTCATTTTATAAACTTTTATAAACCTTGTAAGCTCCTGTAAAGTAACATTTTTGTTGTTTTAAAATTAAACAGTGTCTACTTGTGACCCTTGTTGCCAAAGATTTTAGGTTTTAGGCATGTGTCATTTCTCCAAACTTACCATCAACGCAGTCTTCTCTTATGATTGAAAGAGTCTTTTCTGCGTTGAACTCGCTCTGAGTTTGTTCCTCTGCCCGCATGGTGTCATCAGTCTTTGAGCGAACAAAGTAGAACTTCTTCTTCATCTTCTGGATCTCCAGAGCAAGTTTCACATCATTTTCTCTGAAGCGATCAGCTGAGATGATGATGAAGAAGTCAAATCTTTTAAAGCCAACATGCTCCAGGTACTTGGCAGCTGGAAAATAGGTGGTGCCAATACCAGGAAGATCCCACAGTGTAACATTGGGAAAGTTTGGATGGGGGTATGGTTTGACCTCCGTGGTGATTTCTACACAACCAGTAGGGGCTGCTGCATCACTCTTATCCTTCTTGTCTAAGCCTCTAAAGGCATTAACAAAGGTGGATTTACCAGAGCCACCCTCTCCTGTGATGGCGATGTTTAGTTGAATGTTATCCCGCTCTTCCAAATAAGCCTTGATCTTTGCAGTTGCTGCGGGGACATTGGTTTGCAGCAATTTTTTAAATGTATCTATGTATTCTTTACCAAATGGATCCTCCATAGCTCTCCTTGAAAAATAAAAATAAACAGAATGTCATCTCACTATTTTCATTTGGTGACCTGAGCATTTAAAAAGACATCCTGTTTAATCAAACTTACAGAAACAATGAGTTTGTTAATAATACAATTACAATATCCAAACTTTACATACAAATATGTGTTTTCTAATAAACTGTGAAGTCTACAATGAAAGCTTAAGAACTGTCCTAAAACCCTAGAATAGCCATTGTGAACTCAAGATTCTTAATAGGCTACATACAAAAACACAAAAAGCACAAAAGATAAACTTGTAGGGAGACCAGGGACAGTTGTAACACGGGACAGTTGTAACGCCTTCAATATGTCCAATCACAAACAAGCTAGAGTGATGAAACTCACTCTGCACATGCTCAGTTAGATGGAAAGATTGCTGTGAAAAAAAGGAGCCACGTTTAAATCTCTCGCGAAAGATATTAGCAAAAGTGTGTTTCTGAGGTAAAACATTAACACAAATGATATGATGTATTTTTTGGATACTGTCTTGAGGTCAAATGTCTAGGAATCCAAACTAGTATTATTAGAATCACTGTTTTGTAAGCTAAACATATAACTAGCTAAATATGGGTCAAGCTAGCAATCAGGCAGGTTCACAGGGGGTGAAAACATGACTGGTGGTCCTGGGACGGTTGTAACACGGACCACCTGGGACGGTTGTAACATGGCACATTTACAATGATGGCTCATTTGCTCGAATGATCAATATTGTTGATTGGTGTGCATTGTCCCTGTAAAAATAAACAGAATAAAATACTGTACGTAAAGTGTGTGCGTGTGTTTACAGTATGCCAATTATCAGAAAGAGGAAGGAAGACAGGGGAGTGCCACTTCCTCTTCTGCAGAGGGCCTCAAATGAAGTTGAGAAGGGCAAATCAGTCAGGGCAGTGGCAAAGTCCCATGATATATGCCATGTCACCCTGTACTGGTTCCATAAAAAGAGGCTGAGGTTGGAGAGTCAGGGATCAAAATCACCCCAAAGAGTAGGCTACTGGACACCAAAGAAGGTGTTCCCAACAGAGCAAGAGATGCTTTTGAGAGACTACCTGATGGAGGCCGCTGATTTATACTATGGTCTCAGCTCAAAGGAGGCAGGTCTACATAATTAAGGTAGAATAGGCTATCTATACAGATGGAAGTGACTTTTACACCTGCCACAACTGTGAATCAGATTAATTCCATCCGGTGTTCTGTTTTAAGTTCTGTTCATTGTTCATTGTTTGTTGGAGGATGTGTGAAACCCCATTAAAATCTTGTTGCCTTAGAATTTGACAGCTTTCCCTCTTTTGTGTCATGTAGTGTGAAAAAAGGTAACCGTTATTAACATGTTACAACCGTCCCTGGCATGTGTTACAACTGTCCCTGTACACAGGGACAGTTGTAACAGTTGAGTTTAAAAAACAAAATACATTTTCCAACCTGTACTTATTTCATAGAAACATCTTAAATACATTGCTTCAGTAGTTGACACATTGAGAATGTATTATATAGCAAAATGGCTATCCTAGTGTAAATGGTTTTTGACTTATTGGGGAAAACCCAAAAAGTGTTACAACTGTCCCTGGTCTCCTAAGGAGTGAGCAAACTGGATAGTAAACGGTTGCAACTCTAACAGTCAGAAACAATTAATGTTATTAAACATTCATTTGAAATATATGCCTTACCGTATGATGCACCTGCAACTTTGAAACTCAGCAAGAAAGTTGAACTTCTTTGCTGCGCTGTTGTATGGGTTCACATTTTAAAGAGTTCCGCCCCTTAGACACTCAATGCAGTGGCCAATTAAACCTTCTCCTGCAGTGAGTGACAGCATCTAAACCAATCAGTGTTCATCATGTTTCCTTTCTTTTTCCTTGTTCAGTTAAAGCAGCTGATTTACAAGAAATGCATAGAGGAGGGGTCTGTTTACAGAGCACATTCTATTGTCACGACATGTTAGTAACCTTATCAAAGGTTTCACTTTATGGAGACATTTATTACGTGGAAATGTGGCTTGTTGGAAACAAATGCTGTCTCATAATATATCCTGCAATAAAGACACTGAAAATATTTTAATCTAATCATGAATATTCTTGTACTTTCTGTGAATGAGAAGAACAAACATAGTATTTGTTCTATCCGTGAAAGTGTTCTGTCTGATGTTGAACATCTTAAAATGCAAAACTGAGCAAAAACTATAACTTCATAAAATACATTTTAATGTGTTTCCCCGGTTTTATTATTTTTTCTTTTTTTGGCTATTTCCGCCGGTTCCTTCTACCGGGGACACTGCCCGGTCTCGGGTGTCCCCCCACGGCCTGTGTCCAGCCGTTCCCCCCCCCCCCACTCATCCATATATTAACGGATTTTGACCATTTTTGTCCTCTCCTCTCACTGATCGAATGGCAAACGCGACCCACCATCGGAGGGCCTCCACCGGCCCGGCCTAGAGCCGGTGCTCTAGCGGTCGGTTCCTCCGAACTGCGGGTTCGACTCTGATGTGAGGTGTGCTGCGTTGGGGTGGGGGACTTCCCCCACTCTGCGTGTCTCTTCCTTCCCGGGCCGGCCGATATGAAGCGTGACCAAGACGCACCGTCTGACCCTGCTGAAAAAACCAGCTTAGACCAACAAGCCAGTCAATATTAGGCTGGATTAGTTTGCTGGTTTAGAGGGGTTTTGGACACTTTAGCTGGTCAGGATAGCTGGTTTGGTTACAGTGTTCTAGCTGGTCACCATTAGCTGGTCAGACTGGTATGATCTTGAGTAGAACTTTAGCTGGGATTACTTGATGGTTAAACTGGTCATATACACTGTAAAAACTGTGACTGGGGTCAATTCATTTTAAATAAATAATTTGTAGTAGCCTTTGCATAATAAAAAAGACATTGTGCATTTAGGAATTGTCAAGGAGTGAACTCTGAGGCATGAACTCAAATGCACGACTCAACTCAGACTCAGGTAGTGATTCAAAATAAAGACCATTCCATGGCGCTCTCCTTCAGTGTTTTCAATTTCCCCACATGGAAGGTGGGATGTACCTTCATGGACCTGGGAAGCCGTAGTCTCACTGAAACCGGGTTGATGACCTTGGTGATGGGAAAAGGACCCACAAACCGGGGAGCCAACTTGCGGGAGAGTAAGTGGAGGGGAAGGTCCCGCGTAGAAAGGCAGACTTTTTGGCCTGGCTGGTATACAGGGGCTGGTCGGCGTCTTCGGTCTGCTGCTCGTTTTACCAGCTGCGAATTTCTGCAGAGGAATTTTCTAGCCGCAGCCCACACGCGATGACAACACCTGACTAGAGCGTGGGCAGATGGAACCGTGACCTCTTTCTCCGTGGCTGAGAACAGTGGCGGCTGGTACCCATAAACACAATGAAACGGGGACAGGCCCGTGGCAGACGTGGGAAGGATGTTGTGCGCATACTCAACCCAGGTGAGGTGCTCGCTCCAGGAGGATGGATTCTGGGACACCAGGCAGCGCAAGCAAGTTTCCAGTTCCTGATTCAGGCACTCTGTCTGGCCGTTTGACTCCGGGTGGTATCCAGACGAGAGACTGACCGTGGCACCGATGAGGCTGCAGAACTCCTGCCAGAAACGAGACACAAACTGGGGACCCCGATCGGAGACAATATCCTTTGGGAAACCATGCAGACGAAACGCATTATGCATCATGACCTCAGCCATTTCCTTAGCTGAGGGCAATTTTGATTGAGACAGGGAAATAATCTAAACCTCTCGCATGGCATTGCACTGTCAAGGGGCGGGGGGCGATATAGCGTGTATGTAATTACATTGCAAATACTGACTTGAGCCCCACCCATACTTGCCAACCTTGAGACCTCAGAAATCGGGAGCATTTCAAAACCACCGCGGGGGGGGGTGCTAGTGGATTGCCGGAGCTGTATTGGATTAACATTAACATGCTTATTGTAGTTGTAAGTGCACTGCCTTGCGGCCTGTAGCACCATCCTTGATGGAGCATATGTGTGGGTTGGACCTGTATTATACAGGAAAGGAGTGAGCAGAGGGTAGAGTTGTCGATTCCTGTTCTGTTTTCTGTGACTATCTTCCTCACCCTCTCATACTTTCAGTTGCGCACGCTACTAACGAGACGCGCTGCCATGGCAACCAAACAATGGTGTAGCTGTATTAAAGTCTGAGCGGAAACAGTCCTGAGTAAATCTGATTTAGTCAGAAATCGGGAGAAATGCGGGAGAAATATGACCCCGGGAGGAAACCGGGAGAGGGCAATGAAATCGGGAGTCTCCCGCGAAAATCGGGAGGGTTGGCAAGTATGGCCCCACCACTGTATGGGTTAGCCCTACCATAGACTACCCAACAAAAATACTCTGGCGCCGCCATTGCGCGTAGCTGAGGCAAGAAGCTGGTCAGATTCAGACAAAATGCTGTTACTTCAGTGTAGAGATGGCAAATCCGGATACTTTTACGGACTCTGAGTCTTCTGAGTCAGTCATTGAAGAGATCCGGATCATACGAGTCATTTGAGTCATATGAGTCAGCATCACCAAGAGCGTAGAAATCCTACCGGTGAAACCAAAAAGTTGTTGCATTTCACGAGCATATTAAACTAACGTTACATTAACCTCCGCTACACAGTGTCTTTTGCTTTAATAAAAAATGTTGATCACAAAAAAAAGGGTTATTTGGCGATTTGGCGAATCTGAGTCTGCTGTTGACTTGTGCATGACGACGAGTCTGCTGGATCTCTGGATCTGCTGCTATACGGTTACGGCTCTGAGTCCGCATGAGTCTGCTATGTTAAATGAACATGCCCTCAGACACTGTTTCCTGCAAGATGTTGCGGCAGTGCCCCGGTACCGGGGTCTCTCGGGCTTAACAGGTTAAGTGCTACGTTTTTTACATTTAAAAAAACATTAGACTTACGAGCTTTTTACTTTGAACCTGTGCTGGAATCAAGACATCAACAATTGATTCAGAAGCAGAATCGGAATCGATACATTTCAAACGATACCCATCCCTAATCATGATACCCAAAACAAAGCATTCAGATTGTTTATTTCACCTGCTGGCTCTCTTGTTGGGCAGGGCGTTGTAGAGTAAATGTCGGGTCACATAAGGACACAACATCTTGTAAAGAGACAGAAAATATATATCAAGAGATACGAGAAGAAGTATGCTGATCAGACTGTGAGATAGCAGATGTCCCACAGTTTAAATGAGATGTGAGAGATATGTCTCTTTATTTCATGATTTGTTTTCGGAAATATATTTACATTCTTACATTTTTTAACAAAATCTCTTTTGTACACTGTTTTATGTGACATTACATGCCATTACCAGTCACTTTACAATATCACAGCAGAGTGTTTGGCTTGTGTTCAGGAAGCTCTCTCTCCGGGGTCTCCTGTAACAGATGGAAATCATACAGGTGGAGATCAAAGCTGGACACCAGGAAGACTTGTGGAGACTCAACACCTTGTTTTTCAAGAACTGTGTCACAAAGAGAACAAATACATGTATTTGCAGGCAATGCAATTGAAACAAAAGCAGGAAAAGCCCCAGAAACCCTTTGCAGGTCAGACAGAAAGACAGGCAGGTAGTTTCAGATCTGAGAGGATGATCGTTCACACCAACAGACCCTTAGTGAGCTCAGACAGTATTATGACTCATGAACTGCTTGCATTGTTAGCTCCTGTACAGTATTTGTTCTTGTTTTAAAATTAAAAAGTGTCTACTTGTTGTGACCCTTGTTGCAGAAGATTTGAGGTTTTAGGCATTTTTCACATCCCACCCTCAACGCAGTTTTCTCTTATGATTGAAAGAGTCTTGTCTGCGTTAAACTCGCTCTGAGTTTCTTCCTCATCCCGCATGGTGTGATCAATCTTTGAGCGAACATCTGCTGTCTCACAAACTGACCAGCTCTCTCATTCTCTTGTCTCTTGAGACATGAACCCTTTCTACAGTGCCCTGCCCAACAAGAGAGCTCGCCATAGCAAGGAGTAACCGGGCCTGATTTCTCAGTCCATCTTTTCACTACTCAGTACTTTCCATGGCGGGCACCAGAAATGTGTCACTCCCGGTGCATGACCAATCATTGGCACCTATATGTTCTGTTCAAGTATGTTCCTGAAGAAGGATTATTAAGAGCTTCATTGCTTAAAGGTGGGGTAGGTAATTTTGGAGAAACCAGCTCGAGTCCGCTAGAATTTGAAAATACACAGCCGGAAAAAATCTGCCACTTCCTTACAGAGCCCCTCCTCCAACACACACGAACGCGCACATGACCAATGAGGGCACGAGATAAGTTTGTGCACAGATGGAAGGCTGACAGGCAGGTAGGCCATCCAGTTATTTTAGCCGGGCCGGCTCAGATGATTGGTCGTGCTTTTTACAGTATTACGGCTTCCACAGATGACATTTTTTTATGGATTTTTTGTCAAAGCACTTAAGATATTCATTGCTATCGGGATGTTAAGAGCATTCCATGGAATATAACAAAAAGTGTATCTCGAGCCGGTTTCTCAAACTTACCTACCCCACCTTTAATATACATAAAGTGAACCTATACTGCAAAAGCAGGATGAAAAAGATCAAGACATTACTTGAAAGCACTCCTTTGTGCATCAGTCAATCCTCACAGTAAATACAGAGCTAAATCCCAGACCAAATGCACGCTGAAGGCTCTTTGAGCATGTTTTCTCTCACTGATTGTGCGGTTATGTTAAATGTTTGTTGTTTGTGTGTCATGTATTTGTGTCTGGATATTTGTCTATGTTGGTGTTGGACATGGAGCTGCTGTGACGCAAGTCACATTTCAGACTTGATCTGACTAATAAAGTAATATCGTATCGTATCGTATTGAATATCAGGTGAGGACAGGTGTGTCCACAAACCTAAACTTCAGGGATCGGAGGTAAATGACATTGTTTAGCAAACCATTTATGTTTCATGCTCCAAATTTGGATTCTGTGTTTTGCGACAACAATAGTGCTACAACTATTAGTAATTGTTGTCTTCCATTGACAGGAATTAATTCACAACACTTTTGATAATAAGATAAAATAAAATGGAACTTTATTAATCCCTGTTGGGAAATGCAGGCGTTTACAGCAGCAACCGGGTCAGAGTGAAAATCAGGATTCACACAAGGTGAAGAATAAAGATAAAATAGAATAAAAATAATAATACAAAAGTAAAGTGATAAAGTGATAAAATAACTGTTGAAACAAGATATCATGGTCAAACGTTGATCAATAGAGACATGGCTTAAGTCATTGGACAAGGAAAAAAGCCATATTCTGATGGTTTTTCAGATAAAAAAAGAAATGTTACTGATATTATTTGAGGATGTGTTGTAGTTAATCACTGTCATCACTGAGGGGTAGTGATTCATCACAATCATGTACTGTACAGGCTGCAACAATATAATTCATCATTGTTGGTTAAGATTGTTTGAAATAAAAAAATAAAAACATTATGTGTCTAATATCCTGTCTGTAACTTGTGTAACTAACATTTCATGGTACAGAGGCTCATAATGATAACTACTAAATCTAGAATACAGAAACTTGTAATACCTACAATCACGAAAGACAAAGTGTACGATACATTTCCAAGTTTTTATTTAAGAAAGAGTTTTTTTTTAAACCACAAAAGTAATTCTACAGTGTTTTGCATTAAACAGTCTTATACAATAAAGTAAATGTTTTTGTATTGAAAGGATACCAGGGCATGTTTTAATGTGCTTTCAAGCTATACAAGATTTGTCACTACATATGCATTAATATCAGTTAAACACAACCTACAATGAGGCCATTGGATGGAATGATCAACTACAAAACTTATATTTTATTGTTCAGCTAGGATACAAGATTATTATTTGCTTGATTTTTTAAAAATACAATGCAATGCAATCCCCTCACACAATTATTACAAAATGTCTTGAGTAGAATGCAGTTTTATATGTGACATTAAGTGCCATTGCTGTTCACTTTAAAATATCATCAACCAGAGCTGTTTGAACCCAGGGCCTTTATGAATACCCTCTCAGCATCCTCAGCGAGCATGTTGAGGAAATCCTTGAGAGCTTTGTAGGTGCGGGTAAAAGATAAGGTCATTGTTACTGGTATTCCTATTAATGGAATCAATCTGGACACTTCCTCTGCTACCAGTGAAGCAACTTGAAACCCTGACAGTACCAGCAGTTTCATAATGAGCTCTTTGTTTATTACATTTACGGACAGTTTTGAGGTCGTCACTGCTCTGAGATCAGTCAAAGGCACACCTGATTTAAGAGCAAGATTTTCCATTGACTTGCTATCAAGACCAAAAGTATGTTTGTACTCATTGGTGGCTTCAACCAGAATGGCTATATCAACTGCAAAAGAGATCCAAGGAACTGGTACAGCTGCTGTGAGTGCAGATAAAGAAGCAAGGTACTTTATTTTTGCCTTGAGAGCTTCTTTCTTCTTGCAGATGATCTCAAAATGAACATTGGGCATGGCTAACAGCAGAGTGTCTCTCTTGTGTTCAGGAAGCTCTCTCTCCAGGGTCTTTGTTAACAGGTGGAAGTCATACAGGTGGAGATCAAAGCTGGACACCAGGAAGACTTGTGGAGACTCAATCTTGTGTTTTAGAAGACCTGCGTCACACACACAGAACAGCAAAGTTAATTCAAGATGATGAAATTGAAACCAAGTTAGAAAAATTCCCAGCAACTATCAGCAGGACAGACAAAAAAATGGGTTATTTGTTTAAAATCTGAGAGGATGATCGGTCACATGAACAAACCATTAATGCAGTATTCAAACAACTCATTTTATAAACTTTTATAAACCTTGTAAGCTCCTGTAACGTAAAACGTTTGTTGTTTTAAAATTAAACAGTGTCTATTTGTGACCCTTGTTGCCAAATATTTGAGGTTTTAGGCATGTGTCATTTCTCCAAACTTACCATCAACGCAGTTTTCTCTTATGATTGAAAGAGTCTTTTCTGCATTGAACTCGCTCTGAGTTTCTTCTTCATCCCGCATGTTCTGGTCAATCTTTGAGCGAACAAAGTAGAACTTCTTCTTCATCTTCTGGATCTCCAGAGCAAGTTTCACATCATTTTCTCTGAAGCGATCAGCTGAGATGATGATGAAGAAGTCAAATCTTTCAAAGCCAACCTGCTCCAGGTACTTGGCAGCTGGAAAATTGGTGGTGCCAATACCAGGAAGATCCCACAGTGTAACATTGGGAAAGTTTGGATGGGGGTATGATTTGACCTCCATGGTGGTTTCTACACAACCAGTAGGGGCTGCTGCATCACTCTTATCCTTCTTGTGTAAGCCTCTAAAGGCGTTAACAAAGGTGGATTTACCAGAGCCATCCTCTCCTGTGATGGCGATGTTTAGTTGAATGTTATCCCGCTCTTCCAAATAAGTCTTGATCTTTGCAACTGCTGCGGGGACATTGGATTGCAGCAATTCTTTAAATGTATTTATGTCTTCTTTACCAAATGGATCCCCCATAGCTCTCCTTGAAAAATAAAAATAAACAGAATGTCATCTCACTATTTTCATTTGGTGACCTGAGCATTTAAAAAGACATCCTGTTTAATCAAACTTACAGAAACAATGAGTTTGATAATAACACAATTACAATATCCAAACTTTACATAAAAATCAGCCTGTCCTCCTACAAAAAACGACCATATAGATCGATTGTTCAGCAGTTTCTTACGACCCAGAGTCACGTTTTAAAGTGTAGCACCTCTAGTGGTCGTGTAAGAAACAACATGCTCCCGTTGATTGCAAACGCTCCGGAGATTCTTTTATTCACAAATAACCCGCTCTGGAAAATCCTAAATTGTGCAATAGTTTGGCCATTAAAACCCTTTTTGATTAGATTTCTAGCGAGAAGTGTATATAGTACTTTTATAATCTACGTCCAGTGGATGTGTAGGATCTATAGTTTGATAGATATACGAAGATGATTTGAGGTCACGCCAGGAGAACGTCTATATGTGGCAGCTTCCATGTGAAGTTAGCGTCAACCCTCACGGGGTGAAAACAGTATTTCCGGTCTCGAAGTTTTCATAATAAAACTAGAAGTATTCCCCACACTGTCAAATGATTACACAGTGATATCTGCATTACTCATCCACTAAAAAACATCAGTTTATCCTTGTTAATTACACAATATTGATTGGTTTAAATTGTGTACAATGCTTTTGTGTTTTTAACCTTCGATTCGGAGAAACAAATAGTTTTTTCTGAGTTTAGACACTACAGAGTTTCCGAAGACACTAAACTACCCAGAATCCCCAGCTATCGTTTAGGACTACAACATCCGCCTTGCTTTACAAACCCCGTGATTAGTCCTCAAGCTCTGTGATTGGATGTTGGAGTGGAAGTGCGACAAGGTTACGCCGAGCGTCAAACAGCTCTTTGAAATGGAATGGAACCACGGCAGACTATCCCAGCCCCCCCCCCCCCTAGAACTACACATGCTGGCTATTGTGTGTTTCGCAACATGTTCTATGGCACGTCTCTACGGGAATTGTAGTTTTAAAAGACGTTTTCGTATTTCCCACAATTAGAAGTTGCCAGTATTAAACTGTGTATACCCCTGGAGGTTTAGGGGATACGAAACACAGTGGTGTTATCAAATTTAATACATATAATTAATAAATGGGTGAAATTTGCTTGTGTCCATAATGGGCAGCATTAATATACCCACATGACAGCTAAGGTCAGAAGAGCTTTAATTAACAGCTGGTCTTATGTCTGTGACCCCTCCTGTTGTTCATTGATAAGCCTGAAACATGCACTTGTCAAGGTTCAGAGGCACATTTTTGCAAATATGGCAGTAGCCATCGATCATCTTAAGATAAGATAAGATAAGATAAGATATACTTTATTGATCCCAAGTTGGGAAATGTTTTTGTTACAGCAGCATGTACTACTTTGTTCTTCTCCACTACAATTCTGATTCCATAGATGTGTTCCCATCACCCAAAACCCCTGACTATTCTCTCAACTCAGTATATTACATCTTGTGTGCAGGAAGTTCTCTCTCCAGGGTCTTTGTTAACAGGTGGAAGTCATACAGGTGGAGATCAAAGCTGGACACCAGGAAGACTTGTGGAGACTCAATCTTGAGTTTTAGAAGACCTGTGTCACACACACAGAACAGAAAAGTTAATTCAAGAGGATGACATTGAAACCAAGTTAGAAAAATTCCCAGCAACTATCAGTAGGACAGACAAAACAATTGGTTGTTTGTTTAAAATCTGAGAGGATGATCGGTCACATGAACAAACCATTAATGCAGTATTCAAACAACTCGTTTCATAAACTTTTATAAACCTTGTAAGCTCCTGTAAAGTAAAACGTTTGTTGTTTTAAAATTAAACAGTGTCTACTTTTGACCCTTGTTGCCAAAGATTTTAGGTTTTAGGCATGTGTCATTTCGCCAAACTTACCATCAACGCAGTTTTCTCTTATGATTGAAAGAGTCTTTTCTGCATTGAACTCTCTCTGAATTTGTTCCTCTGCCCGCATGTTCTCATCAATCTTTGAGCGAACAAAGTAGAACTTCTTCTTCATCTTCTGGATCTCCAGAGCAAGTTTCCCATCATTTTCTCTGAAGCGATCAGCTGAGATGATGATGAAGAAGTCAAATCTTTCAAAGCCAACACGCTCCAGGTACTTGGCAGCTGGAAAATTGGTGGTGCCAATACCAGGAAGATCCCACAGTGTAACATTGGGAAAGTTTGGATGGGGGTATGATTTGACCTCCATGGTGGTTTCTACACAACCAGTAGGGGCTGCTGCATCACTCTTATCCTTCTTGTCTAAGCCTCTAAAGGCGTTAACAAAGGTGGATTTACCAGAGCCACCCTCTCCTGTGATGGCGATGTTTAGTGGAATGTTATCCCGCTCTTCCAAATAAGCCTTGATCTTTGCAACTGCTGCGGGGACATTGGATTGCAGCAATTCTTTAAATGTATTTATGTCTTCTTTACCAAATGGATCCCCCATAGCTCTCCTTGAAAAATAAAAATAAACAGAATGTCATCTCACTATTTTCATTTGGTGACCTGAGCATTTAAAAAGACATCCTGTTTAATCAAACTTACAGAAACAATGAGTTTGATAATAACACCATTGCAATATCCAAACTTTACATAAAAATATGTGTTTTCTAATAAACTGTGGAGTCTACAATGAAAGCTTAAGAACTGTCCTAAAACCCTAGAATAGCCATTGTGAACTCAAGATTCTTAATAGGCTATAAAAAAACAAAAAGTCAAAGCACAAAAGATAAGCATGCAAGGAGTGAGCAAAAGTCACACATATTGACTGGATAGTAAACGGTTGCAACTCTAACAGTCAGAAACAATTAATTTGATTAAACATTCATTTGAAATATATGCCTTACCGTATGATGCACCTGCAACTTTGAAACTCAGCAAGAAAGTTGAACTTCTTTGCTGCGCTGTTGTATGGGTTCACATTTTAAAGAGTTCCGCCCCTTAGACACTCAATGAAGTGGCCAATTAAACCTTCTCCTGCAGTGAGTGACAGAATCTAAACCAATCAGTGTTCATCGTGTTTCCTTTCTTTTTCCTTGTTCAGTTAAAGCAGCTGATTTACAAGAAATGCATAGAGGAGGGGTCTGTTTACAGAGCACATACCTTATCAAAGGTTTCACTTTATGGAGACCTTTATTACGTGGAAATGTGGCTTGTTGGAAACAAATGCTGTCTCATAATATATCCTGCAATAAAGACACAGAATATATTTTAATCTAATCATGAATATTCTTGTACTTTCTGTGAATGAGAAGAACAAACATATCATTTGTTCTATCCGTGTCTGTCTGATGTTGAACATCTTAAAATGCAAAACTGAGCAAAAACTATAACTTCATAAAATACATTTTAATGTGTTTCAAAGGCGATGGGAGAGAAAAATATATTTGTATTTGTTTTTGTAGCCAGATGTCCTGGTGTTGTGAGGAAAAAGGCGACATAAACTTTTATTTATAAAAAAAATGTATTGTAGGTTTTGGATGCCTTAAGTTTTCAGGTTGTTTTAAGTGTTTTTTAAGTTTGGCCTTTGCAAACGGTTACTAGGCTCTATTAAGGTTGGATTTTGCAGACGATTACTACATTAAATAGGTGTAACCTAGCAGTTGCTATCTTCATTAACAGAAAGCAGTGGCAAGAGATAACTCATTTGTAACTCACTCAAGCGACATTTATATGGTTCATTCTTTATTCAAATGTGTCCAGCAAAGTAGAGTGTAAGAATTTGATTAGATTATTAAATAATTAATCATTGTTATTGTATTATGTTTAGAAGTTGATAGGAGAGAAAAAGGGGGCAAGGGAGGGGCTTTTTTTGCCTCACGACATTTCAGTGACTACATTAAACCCATGTAGATTATATATATATATATATATATATATATATACATATACATATATAGTTAATTTTGCTCATTGCAATATTCCACATCTATAAGAAGATCATAATAAATATGACTATAAAACTAGGCTCTATTAAGGTTGGATTTTGCAGACGATTACTACATTAAATAGGTGTAACCTAGCAGTTGCTATCTTCATGAACAGAAAGCAGTGGCAAGAAATAACTCATTTGTAACTCACTCAAGCGACATTTATATGGTTCATTCTGTATTCAAAAGTGTCCATCCTTTTGAGCACGGACTCTGTGGTTTCCTGCTTCAATGCACCTCATGTGACCATGCTGGCTTTTACATCTTCAACAGTGCAAGTTATAAAAAACAAAGAATGATAAACCTGAAGCAATATAAACTGTAATGAACATGTACTTATTTATATACTTATTTAAACATTGAATGTCACATTACACATCACATGACATACCACAGGTCCTTTGCAGGTCTCATTCTCGTAAACATTTTTTTCCTGGCAAAAATGAGCACACTAATTAAGATGAAAAAAAGACAATTGATAATTGTATTGACAGTCTAGCCTCCCCTCTGAGCCTCTAGGTTTGCTTTAGACGGGAGACTCTTAGCCCAGGTCATTCACCGTACTGCTCCAGTCTCCCTCAAGCTCTCTGGTAACCATCACAAGATGTTCTCCCTGTACGTTATCCCCTAACCCATGTCACCACTCATCTTAGGTTTTCCTTGGTTAAAACTTCACAACTCTCCCATAGACTGGCTTAACTCATCCATGTTAATTGACGTTTATTCTGTCACTCACATTGTTTGTACTCTGCAGTTCGTGCCACAGTCACTATCCAAACCAATTGATCTCACCTCCGTAAACTCTGAATATCACAACCTCCAGGAGGTTTTTAGCAAGGACCGCACATTATCTTTACTACCACACATGTCAGGCCCTATGACTGTTCCATAGATTTGCTAGATAGACTTCCCTTCTAGCAAGCTGTACAATCTTTCAAGGCCAGAAAAAGAGGCCATGGAGAGGTTCATATCTGACTCTCTTGCTGCTTGTCTCATTCGTCCTTCCTCATCTCCGATAATACGCCCTTTTATTGATTACAGAGGTCTTAATTGATTGATACATTTTATTTCGAACAAGTAAAATAAATAATTACAAAACAAATGTTGCAGTGCATAGTCATGTAAGAGAAATCAAAAACAAAAAATGACATTTACAACAACAACAGCATTAGCAACATAAACAGTGCCACATCTAGTGTTCGAAAAGGAGTGAGAAGAAGTATAATTTATTTAATCTCACCCCCTTGTCCCTAAAGGATTTATTTATAATCTATAATCTGCAATAATTACCATTATTATTCATTATTATTGTTATTATTATTATTAATCTGCTTTACCTGTTGGTTGACATATATGCATATACACAAATGTACATATACATACACACACATACACATATATACATGCACATATACATATACACACATACATACTCACACATATACACATATACACATACACATAGTCAAACACCTTCCCCATCCCTGTACCTCGAGAAAATAATGTATCTGTATTTCCTTTTGAACTGGTTATTGTCTGGACATTGCTTTAGCTCCACATTCACACTGTTCCATAGTCTCACTCCACAGGCTGAGATACAAAAAGTTCTTCTGGTTGTACGGACCCTATACATTTCAAATTGAAATTGTCTCCTTGAACTATATCCCCCCACTCGTTGAGTGAATACTTTTTGGATGTTTCCTGGTAAAACGTTATTATTTGCCTTAAACATGATTTGTGCCGTTTGGAATTCTACCAGGTCTGTACATTTTAACAATTTTGACTGCAGGAATAATTCGTTAGTGTGATCAAGGTATTTGGCATTGTGAATGATTCATATGGCTTTTTTTTGTAGAATAGATACTGCATGTATAGAACTTTTGTAGTTATTTCCCCAGCTTTCAGCACAGTAATTCAGATATGGTAAGACTAGTGAACAGTAGAGAATGTGAAGTGATTTCTGATCTAGAACTTGTTTGACTTTGTTTAGTATGGAAATGCTTCTTGACAGCTTTGATTGTATATGTTTTATGTGTAATTTCCAACTTATTGTGTCATCTAGGAGGTAGGAGGCGTGTGGCAAAGTGGGGCAGCATTACTTTTGTTTTACTCAAGTTTAATGATAGTTTATTTTTGTCAAACCATGTTTTTAATTTGTGCATTTCATTTTATATGTTCTCCACTAGCTGTTCTAAATTCTCCCCAGAACAGAATATATTTGTATCATCAGCAAACAAAACTAGCCTCAGTACATTGGATACTCTACAGATGTCATTGATGTACAGTATAAACAATTTAGGACCCAACACTGACCCCTGGGGGACACCACAAGCAATGTCCAAACATGAAGAACAGTCATTTCCCAACTTCACATACTGCTGTCTATTGCTTAAATAGCTTTTAATCCAGTCTAAAACTATACCCCTGATACCATACCTTTCTAATTTATATACTAGGATGTCATGGTTGATTGTGTCAAAAGCTTTTTTAATATCTATAAAAATCCCTACTGCATATTTGTTGTGTTCAAGGGCATCTGTGATATCCTCAATTGATTCCATAATTGCCAGTGATGTTGATCTGTTTGATCTGAATCCGTATTGACTGTCCGTGATTCATTTGTGCTTTTCTATGAATGTGTCCGGTCTGTTGTTGAATACTTTTTCTAGTATTTTTGGAAATTGGGGAAGTAAAGAGATAGGTCTGTCCTTCCAGCTGGAAATAGATTGATTCTGTTAAAAGCTTTTACTCTTCATTAAATAACACAACTTTGGTTTAAACTTGTAGATTTGTTTGTTTCTTAGCAGATGATGATTAAGTGTGGAATTTCCTACACTCTAAACTTCAGATTATGAGACAATATTAATGAATTGTGTTATGCTATTTACTTTCTGTTAATAGAATAGTTACCATATCTAACATATTTTTATTTAACTTTAGATTCAGTTTCTTTAAGCAAAGTAGAGTGTAAGAATTTGATTATATTATTAAATAATTAATCATTGTTATTGTATTATGTTTAGAAGTTGATAGGAGAGAAAAAGGGGGCAAGGGAGGGGCTTTTTTTGCCTCACGACATTTCAGTGACTACATTAAACCCATGTAGATTATATATATTTATATATATATATACATATATAGTTAATTTTGCTCCTTGCAATATTCCACATCTATAAGAAGATCATAAGAAAGATGACTATAAAAAAACATTATGAATAAAAAGACAAAATGAAAAGGCAATAGAAACTAATTGCAATTGTTTTATCATTTATAAAGTATCTTAGCCCGCTAGCCAGATGTCCTGGTGTTGTGAGGAAAAAGGAGACATAAACTTTTTTTTATTGTAGGTTTTGGATACCAACCCTCTATCGCATGACTTTTTATTTTGGGAGGAAAAAAATGTTTCACCATGTGTTTTAGGAGCTTATGGGTCCCTGATATTATGTGTGACCCCTCCACACCCCTCAACCAGGGGTTGGTTTGTTGCCTCAGGGCAACAATGTGCGAGGGTATTGAAACACCAAGGATTTCTGAAAGTTGTGTTTCAAATTTGAGACATGAACATTTTCTACAGTGCCCTGCCCAACAAGAGAGCTCGCCATAGCAAGGAGTAACCGGGCCTGATTTCTCAGTCCATCTTTTCACTACTCAGTACTCTCCATGGCGGGCACCAGAAATGTGTCACTCCTGATGCATGACCAATCATTGGCACCTATATGTTATAACATTTCCTCATAGCATATTTTATCAGCTCTGTACATCTTTATAATGGGGTAATACTGTATTAGAGTGGTTATATCTGAAAAGGCTGACTTTAAATAGGGACATTATATAAATCAAGTTAGTTTTATATTTGCTAATGTAAGGGTTTCATTTTTTGGGTATTAATTTAGCAAAAGCAGGGTATTATTTTTGGCTTATCCTATTGCACGGTAATGTGGTACTAAAGGGCGAAAAAAAAGGCAATATTAAGCAAGAACATAAACAAGAAACAATTTATCTTTGTTTACCTTTTTAAACGCCCTTTTGAAAAACATTTAAAACCAATAGACCAGCTTCTATTTCAGTAAATCTGTTGCTTGGAACAGAGTCAACATTAATCCAGTCATGAGAGTAAAAGCAGAACAGAGCCATGTGATATACATCAGGAATTTATCAATACCGATGCTTCATATCTATCCCCAGGGGTTCAGTTGGGATTTGTTGTGTGGGGGGGCTCTGTCTTGAAGGTGGTGTGTGTGACCATGACATTACATGTTACTTGTTAGACGCTTTTATCCAAAGCGACTTACATACTCAAGACTGTGGGCAATCCCCACAGGAGCAATTTGGGGTGAAGTGTCTTGCAGGACACAACGACATGCTGACTGCAGTGGGGTTTGAACCTGTGCCCTCCTGATCCGAACACCAACGCACTAGTGCACTGCCCCACACGCCTCCATGACCATATGTATGGCCAAAATGATTACGGTTATTTTGATCAATGTTGAGGATCTTTTTCAATATTATTCATTGGAAAATAAAATAAGTGAAACAAATGTTTGTATTGTACTTTGACAGAACACTGCTTTTATTTCCATCCAGTCCGATTCTACCACTGTCAATATACCGGTTTGTAAATATACTCTGAACAATCAGGTACTTGCACCAATTTAGTACTGGTTTTTGATACCCATCCCTATTATTCTGTGACAAAAAGTGTAAATGGCAGCTTAAAATAATAACAATTTGTTTACATCATGCACGATCATTTTCTTCTAGATAAGTGTATGACTGCATCACAGCACTCTGCAGAGAAGCTGTAGCAGTGAACAAAATGTAAGGCTTCAATAATGCTGTGTTTTATCATTGGAATGTGAACACAATGGAGGTGAAAGATGTAACGGTTTTTAAAGTGGCGAAGTTACAAAGCTGTAGTGGTGGAGTGGAGCGTTCCACAATGTGTTGGGCAGTAACACAAAAACATTGAAGATGGGTGTTGGGAATAACTTTTAAAAAATGTGAGACATAAACCATACGAGTCATTTTGAGGAACATGTTATACTTTTATTTGCAATAAAAATAAAATGGTATTGTATGATTTCCTTGTCCGAGATGTGTTTCTAATATGTAGCTGATGCTCAGTCATATACGTGCATAAAACACTTATTATAACACAATCCAATTTTCTTCTGAATCAAACTTCAGGCTCTAAAGTTGAATCAACAGCTATTTGATGCAGGATGCTTGTATTAGACTAAGAGCAACTGATAAGTAGTCCTCTGAGGGTAAATATAGGTAAATATAGATCGTGCATGACAGGCTCAATATTTCAGAGTCAGTTCATGCAAAGCCTCAACTTCTGCTTTCAGTGAAACTTCAAGTCTCTATTAATTCAGTGATGTGAGAAGTTCGGTAGTTTGGAAACATACAATTCAAATGAATGTCATTAATGTACATGTTTTAATTACAGTACACTTATCCAGCTGGCAGGCAATCTTTGAAAAATAATCTGGCGAATATGTTCTAATTTTTTTGTTTGTTTCTTTAAATCAGAAAAGTCAGAAGATAGTGAAACATTTTGGTCCGTGTTCACCAAAGATACACAGTGAATTAGTTGGTAGCTTTTGTTAACTGAACTCAAACTAGGAACTTTTTGTATTAGATTTGGTTAGCTGGGGGTATGTCACCTCTCAAATCTCATACTTCACTTTAAACTCGTCCTTAGTCATTAAATCTGACTCGGAGTCGGGACACATCTGGGAGATCATCAGACGTGTTCTGCGTCTTCTTTGAGCCACTATGCAAGTCCTCTCTCTCTTCATCATCATCACTGTCCGAGTCATCCAAGTCCTTCTTCGCTCGTACTCGCACTTTCTTTTTCTGTTCAACAACTTTTTCATCTTTCTCTTCTCCTTTTTCTATTTCTTTTTCTTCATCTTTCTCTTCTCCTTTTTCTTCATCTTTCTCTTCTCCTCCTTTTTCTTCATCTTTCTCTTCTCCTTTTACTTCTCCTTGTCCTCCTTCTTCTTCATCATTATTGTCCCCTTCTGAGTTAATTCTGCACAGTGAGAGAACAAAATAAGTTAGATTTAGTGGCATCTGCGACTTTAAGTCTTACATGAGCAATGGCAAAATGATTGAGTGTTAAGGGCATTAAATGGAGAAGTAAAGACTGGAGCTCAAATGTTGTCATTAGTTGTTAAGACTAGGTTGCAATACATCCTTTTGTCCACAAGATGGAATACTTGCAGTAGAATTCACTGAATGTGCTTGACGGATATACTGTACATATTAACAATGTTAAGTAACTTAATAACATACATACGATGTAGTCCTCCTTGCAGATAAAGAACCACATCTCATGCACACTGTGTAACGACACATGCTATGAATGGCTCATTAAGGAGCAACTACTGGCAATTTGGGAATGAAACGCATTGGCTCTGAAGTAATAGATTATCCCAATCTCAAGCAGCAAAGTTGATAATGTACTTAAGGTCAGAACAGAGAATGTAATTATCTATTTTACCCATGAATCTGCACACAGACAACATATACACACACAAAAAAAATATATGATGCACTCACGGAATAACAATTTTCTCTTTCTTCCCACACTTGCAGCAGATGTCTAGCTCCAGAGAACAGGGCTTACAGAGGATGTGGTATGCATCCTTCACTGTCCTCTGAGCACACTTGATACTGAAACAAGAACAACATACAAGCAGAAAGGTGATTCATTTTAGAATTGTAACCAAGCACAAATACCAAAATGCTTAACTAAACATATAAATAGGTAACACACATCTTGTTATAAAAAAGTGTAATACAATTGTTAATTGTACATTAACACGGAAAATCATCGCCGCTGTAAACTGTCTCAGACTACTGGTTTACACGAATAACTGCAGTGAATATACAAAGAATAGCACTGAAAATATTCAAAAAATGTTGACAATTTGGGTACTTTGTGATGGATGCACATAATCTAGAGTTACCCATTCATTTCCTATGGCGGTCATTTCAGACAGGGAACACCATAGGTGTAACAAAGTTGACTAAACCACTCAAAATTCAATGAAAGTGATGATCAACCATGTTGTCGGTTTAAATGCCTACTGGGGAGGATATCATAAGGCAACACAATATTCATTGTTGATGAAAGAAGTACAGATGTCAGATTTGACCCAAAAACAGGAGGGTTCAAAATAAATTGAATAGAAATAGGCATAGACAGTAAATATATACAAACTTGTATCAGCAGTAAATCAAAGTGTACCTTAAGCTTACTTACCATTTTTTGGGTTGTGTCAGTGACTTGTACTTGTTGTACCTTACTCTCCACTCCAGAACACCCTTACAGTGTTTACAGAGCCCATCGTGGATCTTGGAGTTTGCTTTCTGTAATTCACAAAAGCAGAGTGATGGTGAACGTGTTGTAATGAAATGTTATAAAATAGCTTTGCCAAAACAGCATGCTTGTATGATTGTTATTGATAATAATGACCAAAGCCGAAAAGGTCCATTGCAAAAATCTGAATTTTACTTTTTATACACGATTTGTTCACAATGCTAACGCAATTTGGTTTCAGGATGGCTACAGACAAACAAAAGTTAAAATAAAACCTTGTCTCCTAAAAGGTCTCAACACAACAGCATGTTGCTAACTCTATATCAATACACAATTTCACATTGAATGCATTTAAAGTGTCTTTAGTTGAGCATAGTATGTATGCTAGCTAGCTACACAGGACTGTTTTCTTCACGGTTCATACCTGCACTTGTACAGTCGCTCCGTACTTGTTGTTTACGAAGGCCGTGTTGTTTTTATGCTTCTGAGCTCGCGAACGAGAGACATTACCTTTTTGAGAACTCATTTTATTTCCCAATTGTTTTAGATACACATGTTATGTCGGTATACAATTCCGAAAAGCATGCTGAAGAGAGAGCTACCCCGGAAGTAGTACGAGCACGTGATGAAACGTCATGAGGTCAAAACTTAAAAACACGAATCTTCCACTTTTTGTCAAAAGGGGTTAGATTAAAGAAAATAAGAACACATTCTAGATTAAAAATAGATAACGGGAACTAACTTTAGTGTACTTAAGAAACTTATTTTAAGAAAATGACGTCACCTGATTGAACATTAGAAACACCCCAATCGTGTCTGATTGGATGTTGCCTTGGAATAGTAATATCTGATTGGTTCTCGTAAACCTCAATCAAGACATTACGCCACTCTGCAGCGTCGACAGGACCCGCCCATTAATGTAAACACTTTACACCATTGGTCGACTTGTTTCATCAAACAATGTTCCTATTGGTCCACACAGCTGTCAATCACATCCCCTTGTTCCTTACAAACAGAGTGATTTTCACAACGAAAGCGGTGATGTTTCGGAGGCAAGCGTTACTGTTGTGAAGTGATTGCCAAAGCAACACGGACGTGAGACAATATTTTATTTTATAAAATAGACCCATGTCGCTGTTGAGCTGTTTAGACATTAACCCTTTGAATTAATCGTTTTCATTCACGACTATATGTTGAGAAAACCGAGCGGAGGAAAAAAAAAAAGAGACGACAGTTTCTGAGGCTTCCTGGACCAGGAATCTGCCAGCTAATAAAAAAACTCACAGCTGTGGATACCAAGAGGGATTTACACACTCTGTGACATCGCCAACAAAGAGGACACGGAACAGAGGATAATCTGGATAACCTTGTCAATCTCCCGGCGTCGATAAGAAGACAAGTTGGTGCAAACATAACACCTGACTTCCTTCAATACTGTCACCTGGAAATAGAAAGAAAAACAAAACAAGAGCCCGTGCAGGTAATGTCATAATTTCTCCTCTCTGTGTTAATAAGGAGGATATATGCATGCTAGTGGCTAATTGGCCCTTAACACTTTGCAATAATTATGTTTAGCCATTGGAAATTAAACCTCCACAACCCAGCCTAATCTCTCTGAACACATTTCTGCCTCCACCACCATTTTACAGTAAATCGCCGCGGGGCTCCATTCTGTGTCCTCGCTTTATTTAAGGACTATTTTGGGCATTATGACAAGGAAATAGCCTCCCCTATGCACTGTGGTGCTGTGTGCTCGTTTTAAATGTCAGGGCATTTTGTTGAAAGCTCACAAGGCTGTAAAAAGTAATCACCGAAATCCTTTTTGGTCCAGCCTATTGTTGATAGTAGTGGCTCCCAGGTAATTAAGTACAATTAAAGTCACCTGTGAGTAATCATCATGCAAATAGCTTTTTTCAAGACTATAAAATGCAAACAGTACCATCAAAACCAATCCATTAGGAGGTTATTAAAACACATTAATCAGGGTTATGACACACAAGATTATTTCCAAGGCTTTGAATGTCTCCCACAGTAAAGTATGGGCAATTGCCATATAATTAAAACTGCTGTAAATCTGCCAGATGCAGTTTGAAAAAAGAAATGCATGAATAAAAGTGATTTGTTTGCACATTTTACCAACTACAAATAAGGATTCCTAAACACTTCACTGGACAAATAAATACATAATAAGGATTTAAAGCAAATCTCTGGTGCTGTGAACCGGTCATTTACTGTAAGTGTTTTGGTTATTAAATAAAAACACAAATTAATTAACTGGTACATTTAATTATATTATCATTGCTCATTTGTTAACACAGAGCAGCTAAGGAAGTAACACTGGCCAGGGTGGGCACGAAGAGACATGAGGGATGTGCTTCATCATTCATAATTTGTCCAGTCACTGTAGTATGCATTATGATGGTGTATCCTGGCAACAGATTGATAGAGGATTGAAGATTTGCATAGATTCGAGGATGTAATTACAAAGATGTCATATCGGGGTGTAAGTTCAGACTTTGAGCACCTTAATTTGAAATCCAATCTGCAACACGTGGTCATAACCTGACTGTGATGAGTGTATCGGCCTTTTCAGAAGGGCATATGCCGCGGTGCAGAGTCAAATGACTTGGTTGTAAGAGGCATTCCTGCAGGACATTTTGACAGGTTGACCAGCATCAGTGTCACCGTAATAAGTTCTGCTGCTGACATGTCTCGTGCAGGACCACCACAGCAAATCAAAAGCATCTGGACTTTCTTAAAGGTAGCCTTAGGTGGGGGTCCAGGTGCAGGGTGAAACGAGGAAGCATTTTAAGTCGATACTGTCTGAGTGGTTGTGGAGCCTGGAGACAGACGGAAAACAAACACTCAATTAGTGTCAGAACTATTGCTTTATTTCTACAATCCTGTCTGCATAGAGCTATGAATTTGGGAGAGGGGAATAGAGAGAGTGTAAAAAAGGTTTTAGCCCCCGGCCCCGGAAACCCCCTGCTATTCCACTTAACAAAGTAACAAAGACAAGTGTTAATGTTCTTGGAAAGAGCACATCATCCAAGACTTCGGTTTTGAAATTGCTCTTTCCTTGTGATAAATCTTCAGGGGATGCAGAGGCAAAATAAGGGCATAGATGCTCGTTTTGTAGACATTATATCTTAATTTCTGTAAGGCTAATCTTACATTTAATCTACTGATGTCCCTGTTTCTATTTTAACTCTTCTCCCTCACCCTTCCACAGTGTTTTGAGGATGAACCACTTATCCCTCAGTGAGATATGTTGCCTGTTCTGCTGTCCACCGTGCCCCAGCAAGATCGCCTCCAAGCTGGCCTTCTTGCCCCCAGAGCCCACCTACAGCCTCATGTCTGACGACAGTGGCAGCAAATGGACGCTGAACCTCTCCGAACGTGCAGACTGGCAGTACTCGTCCCGTGAGAAGGACGCCATTGAGTGTTTCATGACACGCACCTCAAGAGGGAACCGCATCGCCTGCATGTTTGTCCGCTGCTCGCCCAGCGCCAAGTACACATTGTTATTCTCCCACGGAAACGCAGTGGACCTGGGCCAGATGAGCAGCTTCTACATCGGCCTGGGTTCAAGGATCAACTGCAACGTCTTCTCCTACGACTACTCGGGTTACGGGGCGAGTTCTGGGAAACCCTCGGAGAAGAACCTGTATGCTGATGTGGACGCCGCCTGGCAGGCACTCCGATCACGGTAATTAGAGATAATGATGATGATGGAAGAACCTGCACAGAGATGTTGGCACAGCGTGTAGAGTAAAGGATGCAGTGATGGATGAGTAGTGATGAATGCATTGGTATGAGAGTAACTGAATAGCATGCAGAGCCACATTTAAAGGTGGTCATAAAATAAAACCGTAATTGCGATTTAGGTGAGGATTGATTAAACCTCAGAGAATAGTAGGTTAAGCACCTTTTTAAAGGGGCCCTATTGAGCTTTTGGGAGTTTTCCCTTCCCCTGTAGGGTGTTGTATAGGTTTTTGTGCATGTGACATCACTACTCAACACTCACGCTTCTGTTGGCTAGCGCTCCAACATATTCAGGGTGTCCACGGGGTCTTAAAAAGTATTACAAGTTGATAAATCAATTTAGCGAAAATTAAGGCTATTAAAAAGTATTAAACGGCATTTTCCAAGGTATTACATTTTGTAGCTTGTTTTCAATAAGTATATAAATTGTCCAAAGAGGTTTTATTCTACAGCTTGCCTGAATGTAATGATTGCGTAGGTGTGTAGTGTGATTCTGTGTAGTTTATTTATGGCATCCCGTTGGATTTGACGTCATCTGAACAGGACATCGCACGCTCACTGCTTGATAGCGCGCGAAGGTCCGTTTACGCCGGTTGTTAAACAACATCGTTATGGGGAAATGCAAGTTTGCGTCAAAATGGTTGGAAGATAAGGAGGAAGGACAATCAATACTGTATATAGTAAATGTGAGGTAAAGTGTGTCGCCAATGTAACCGGTTAAAACTCGAAGTGGCGATGAGGTCTTAAAATGTATGGAAAGGGTCTTAAAAAAGGTCTTAAAAGGTATTACATTTGACTTCAGGATTCCTGCATATACCCTGATATTGTACTTGAGGGGCGGGACATCTCTGAGCCGCTGACCAACCACAACAGAGCCGGCCAGCGAACCAATCAGAGCAGACTGGGCTCTGGTTTCAGACAGAGGGTGAAAAGAGGTGCTGCAGCACAGGCAGTATGAGAAAAATAAAGAGCATTTTGAACATTAAAGCATGGAGACATGTCACAGGAGAGACACCGAATACTAATATGAGGCCTGTAAGTGAGCATAATAGGGCCCCTTTAACTTTAAGGATGTGCAATAATTTGAACATGCATGCAGTTAAAGGTCAGATCTTAAAGGGAAAGGGAACACGCATATACTGTATGTAAATGCTATATGCAAACATCTTCTCCCCTTACAGTGCAAGACATAGTTCCAAATAATTTCCCTCTATAGCACGTCATAAATGAAGCAGTCAGCTGATTAAACCGTGACAAAAGCGTTATATTAATAGCAACTCTCTGTTCATGTCATTCTAGTTTGACAGCTTTGGTAGTGAGGGATAATGCCGGGAATGTTTCCAGCTATGGGGAAGTTGGACCAAAAGAAAATGGACATACTAAAATGAAAGCAAAGTAAATTCTGAAGCAACTGGGCTGATGTAGACTGAGGGTATTTCTCAATGTCGAGTAAGCTTGCTTGGTAGCACATGTCTGCCGAGCATCTTGCTTCAGAAGCGAGGCAAGAATACTTCCTGGCATTCGGAAAACAAAGAGTGGAACAGGCTAGCAAGTGTGCAGGTGTGCGTCATATGAGAGGCCCCGCCTTACATCTTCCGCCACAGATTTGGGGAAATTGGTCCGTGCGCAAAGCATTGTGGGGATTTTAAGACCGCGGAGTCTACTCATGTGCAGCCTCGATATTTCTCCAAACGGAGTACGCCGGGCTCGGTAGATTTCCAAGTATGCTGGAGATTGGAACAGTACTTCGGCGGCACTCGATGACGTAGTATGCTTGAAATAGTGGCTCTGAAGCAGCTTTACTCGCGATTGAGAAACACCCTGTTACCCAAAATTAGAGCGCCACAAAGAGATAACAAGC